ACTACATAGATGTTGGTAGATCCAAAGAAAATTGTACACAGCCGGCGCTGTGAGAAAACAATAGCTCAGTGGGGGGAGGGGGGTTAGAGTGGATGGGGAAATCGGGCTGAACCAGAAAAATGTTAGGCGTATGGCCAGCTTTAAAGGGAGAGTCAATAAGTGCATTAAGATCCAGCTTGACCTCGCTTAGGTTGCTGCCAATGACTCTGTACTAATGAGCCATTCTCTATAGGCAATAGTGAATTTTCTTTTCAATTTCAAGAAGCTCAGTGTCTGAAGTAGTAATCCTATTAGAGGATATATATTTAAAAAAAAAAGAAAAAAAAAAAAAAAGAGACCCAGTCACCAGCAAAAATTGCAGGTACAGAAAAATCAAGTATTTAAATTATATAGTGCTTGCGTCAGGTGTTTTTCTTTTTATTCACTTGTACTGTGTCTCTGACCGTGCTAGAAAAGGACTACTCCATAGAGAGTGAATTCCCTAGCACAGCCCCCTCCCTCCTTGCACACCATAGCCCTCTCCTTTTTATGGGAGTGTCTAATTACCCTCTGTGCTGTCCTAGCTCCTCTACCCCTCCTTTCAAAACCTTATATATAGCTCCTGTGGGAGAAGTTTAGACGAAGAAGGAGACTAGTAGGAGAATACTAGAGTGTGTCACTTGAGTAACAGCTCTGAGTCTGCTGGGGCTGATGACATCACATCCAGTTAACTTGCCCCAGTGACATCTGCTGGTGCTTAGATTGATGGAAAACCACTTTGCAGGGTAAGGCTTCCGAGGGGGGCAATTTTCAGCAAAAAAAATGGGCTGAAAATCTCAGCTTATACTCGAGTATATACGGTAATTTTCACATTCTGGGGGCAGGAGTGGGGCCTGTAACTGCTACACACCCCTTCTTCTTAATGTGTCTACTTACTATATGTGTTGATCCAGCTCCTCCTTCCCCTCACATAACTGTTTATCTAGCAACTGGGGAGGAGCAAAGGAGAATACCTTAATTACAGCTTTGAGTCTGCTGAGTCTACAAGATAGGTAAATAACACAACTATGTAAAATGCACATATAATGTTATGGAAACAAATTTGGTGAAATGAAAGGTCTGGCATCACTCTCAAAGTATGCCGCACACACTGCACAAAGGTAAATTGAAATCTGATTGGTTGTTTTGGTTTGCCCTTCCACATTAATTACACCGGTAAGAACTTTTAGTTTTGAGGAAAACAGATCAAAATACTTGCAAGGGTTCATCTCATATATAAACGTAGCTTAGATCCGCATATAGCCCACAGATTCTGCAATGAATTCTGCCTAATGAGAGCAATATGGATAGTTTAATGGAAACTACATTCCACTGTAAATTATTATACTTGCCAACTTTAAATTATACTTTAGCATGCAAAGGGCAAGTGATAAATCGCTGTAATTTTCCCTGATTAAAGACTCTCAATAAATACATTAGGCTCCAGTACACAATACCCTGTGCCCATTTATCTCCAAAATCGTTTGTTTTCTACCAGCTACTTCCTTCCATGTCAGTGTGTCATGTCAGACAGCCGGAAATCACATTCAGTATATAATAAAAATAGTTCTTCCCTATGATAAGCTAACTCGCCAGGGACATTGTTTTGTGACATGCCATGCGTGTAAACTGCAAAAAAATAAAGAAAAACAATATTGCAATAGACTCTACAAAAGGAAATGAGTCACGTGCTGTTGCATCCAAACAGGATCCAAAACCTCACCAATAAACATGGTTATTGTCAGTAACTGCACTTCGCACTGTATGATTACATAATTGAATAAATCCAATGATAGGGATTAGTAAACACTGTGCTGTTGAGTAATGAAATGCATTACCCACAGAAAACAACCATTCAGCAATTTGATGTAGTTAGGTCACAAAATATGAGATGCAACTGGTTAATACCGGCCACCGAATTATTAAAGGGCAATGCCACCCAAAACATCAAAGGGGTTCTTCAGAGGTCTAAGAGGGCAGAGGATTCATCAATGCAGCACAGATATCACTTTTGTATGGAGAGTGCCTTAAACAATTAGCCAATGATTACCGATCTGACCTTATAGGCAACCTATCCTGACAGACAACTGATGTATTTCCCAATCACCATGTGAAAACGATAGTTCTGTGGCTGTCAAGTAGATTCTATAGCTGGCCGTACACTAGTAGAATTTTGTTTGAAAATCTGAAAGATCGTTTGTCAGAGCATTCAATCTTTCGGTGATTCAGTGATCTTGATCACTGAATCAACTAGTTCCGTTGAAATTTCCTTAGCTACTTGAATGCAATCCCAGATATTAAAGAGGTTTCTCTTGTGCCAAGCACACATGCATCACAATATGTATGATTTTTCCCCAAATGGACATCACATTCACGGTTTGAATTTAATCCGTTCAGATAAGAAACGAGAAACATTTTTCGTTCTGAGCCTTTGAATTTTCTGGTCCATACTGTCAAAAATGATCATTGATTTGCCCCCATTAACCATTAAAAAATCTGGACGAATGTTCTGAAAATGAATATTTTTAAAGAAAATTATGTTTTATGGCCAGCTTCTGGCCTCTCTAATGTGTATGTCCCTGTTATGGAGCAAGTTAGTGAGGTTAAAAGGCCCAGCTGGCATACTAGTTGCCAACTCAAAGACAGTGAATTAGCATGACAGTCATGGGACAAGCAACTGCAGAAGGAGATTGGCATCAGTAATGCAACTATCAATGTAAGTGACAGGTACTCCACAACCAAGCAAATTACACTAACTGTAGGCCACCACCAAGCAAATTACACTACCTTTAGGCCACAGAAGATCCAATCTCTAGGCCATTATGCCAGCACTGTAGTGCAGGGGAGTCAAACTCTTCCCTTCAGAGTTAAACCATATCTCAACCCAAGAACAAAGATGTCATGTATTGCAGCTTACCAGTCCTTAGATTTGCTGGCTGTTATAGTTTTCATTTTTTCAGAGTAAGAACATTTTCAGCAAGCACAGAAAATCACTGCTGATCTTGCCAGAAATGCATCGTCCTCGTGACTTCCTGTGATCTGCCCTGGATGGAAGCAAAAACAATCTTCTCTTCCTTGAGTAAACCACTAATACCATAAAATCACCATGTCAAGTTTCCAGGCAAAATAATTCACATGACATCCAAATTGAGAATCCAGAACCATAATATGTCGGAGTGAGATTAAGAAAACTAGAATCACCAGTCCTGTGATGCTGGGCCCAAAGCAGTGCTGTCCATAAATTGGGACCATGGTTCAGCAAAAGCCACGTGGTGCTTTAAAATGTATTGTGTAATGCATTCACTTAATAGATCTGCCATGCAAGAAAACAAACTACTCACAAGATATGTCTGTAGAGGATCATATACCTCTGCATATAACCAATCTCAGCTTCTGGAAAAAGATGTTTGAATATACTGGCTTGGGTCCTATAGGGAAGATTTCTCTTCACTTCATGGATGGAGGAATGGCAGCCAGTGTCAGCCGTGACCGCCTGAATACCTAAACATAGATATATATTGACACCAGCACTCCAATTATAGAATACGTCCATTTAATGACGTACATGCAAAACATACTTACTGCTCGTACTTATAGCAATAAGTATGTTTTGCATGTACGTATTCTATAATTGGAGTGCCGGTGTCCATATTTATCTATATTACTGGACAGTGGCCATCAGTCGACTACCGATGCAACCATCTTATTTTCAATGGATGAGCGGTCAGGAGTGCAATGGGTACATGGACTGTAACTGAATACCTGAACAGTGACCTCATCTAACAGTATGCAGTCACAGTTTGACCAACAATTTTCCCACCCGACTCTTTCAACATGTCAAGCCAGGTGGTGCCAACAGGCACCCCCCGAATTTCAAATGATTAAGCAGGAAACATATGGACAGCTTTAGAGTTGTACCCATTGGGGGATTTCCCCTATATTTCTGTTTAGGTAACAGTTTAAAATGTTCGTTTATCTTGGTGTCAATGGCCACAAGGACAAATAAAGGGTAAATGTTCCTAAAGTAGACAGACAGCAATGAAAACCTCACAGATTTCAACCCCTCCCTATTCAATTGAAACCTAAGTTAAAACAGATTTTGGCTATAGATTCTCTTTAAAGTGGTTGTATACCCAGGTATTTATCCCACCTTGTATGGATAGGGCACACCACCAGCAATTGGTTTATAGAGCAACCGTTTAAAAAATAGTGACATTAATTCCTTGGTTTTTTTTCTTCATTTCCTAAGTCATGTAACCGTGCATCTTCTCTACAGTCCAGCAATATCAGGGGCAGGGAACCTGTAAAGCCTCATGTCCTGGTGATGTCACGTCAGCTACTACACGCCCTCCCTTCCAGGCCATTGTGAGAAAACTGATTTGTCATTCAAGCATTTTATCCACTCCTCAGACAGATCAGGTGCTTAACTGACAGTGCAATCCGGCAGACATGCTGCAGCCTAACCTAGGTGACAACTCTGGCATTGCTAAACTGTACAGAAGAAACGCTGTCACGTGACCTAAGAAGTAAGCCATGTTTAGTAAGTAATACATGGCTTGCTTATTAAATGGGGAGCATGTGGTGACAATGCTGCAGAGGGTCTCTGAGCCTGGAGATCATTGCCAATGAGGAGGAGGAATTTTTTTTTGAGAAAAGCTTAATTTAAAAAACTAAGGGCACAAAGAAGAATTGGGTTTTTTGGGGGTTTACAACAACTTTAACATGGTAAAAAGAGCAACGATGATGTGCAAAACAGAGGTCAGATCATATGGATTTGTCTCAGAAGAGTTCACGCACTGATGTTAGCATTCTGTACACAGGTTCCTTGGCAGCTGCGAACCGATCGTGATTACTGAGCCTCTTAGGAGGATGAATCTTGTTCTACAGCTCTCAGTCGCAATAAGCGAGGATAAAGCAGGACTGCAAGATATCATAGTGCTGGGACAAGTCGGACAGTTTATTCCTAACATGGTTCTTGTTACCTTCTTTGTCAGCAACTGCTCAATTTCCTGCAGCTGGGCTTCCGAGCTGCGCTCTATGACGGACACTTTGGTGTACTCCTGCTTTTTGTTAAGCCTGTTCTTCCAGTCTTCCTCCCCGCTCTTCTTCAGTAGCGCCAGCCTAAGAAGGAATAATATGCCACATTGTTTGTGAGACATTCCACACAAGTCATGCTGTCCACAGAGACCCAGCAGAACATTTCAATGCACTTCTAGGACACCGGCGTCATAAAAAGCAAACAAGGGATGCCATTTGCTTGCTGATATCTGAACACAAAGAAAATACACAAAGTGCTGATTCAAGCACTGCCAGTAACTGCTGAGTAGATAAAGGAGAACTCCGGTCATAATAAATATCACCAGTAAGCTCATACAGTATAATGTCAGGTCTATTAAAATGATCAGTAAAATCCTGCAACTGGTGCAAGCTTCCATTTATTGAAAAGGGGCAGTATACTGCTGGATAGAATTACAGGGGAGCGCCTATCACATCTTATGGTTTCATTTTGGAATGGGATGGGTGACGGAGAGGTTGGAAACCTCCGACATTTGTTTTTTTGGGTTCTCTGGTTCCCTTTGGGAAGATTTACTCTCCACGTCTGACCTGGTCACAAAAGGCACAAATATAGACCATACATAAAAGGGTTAAACTGCTGACACAGTGTCTATCAACTAGACTCAGCTGACAGAAACTGTGTACAGGTATTGCTGCTTTACACGGACATAAAAAAAAGATACAGCCGGAGCACATAAGGTGAAATAAGTTTCCTGGCAATGTTATCTGGGGCTCAACTGTCGTTATACAAGATCAATGTAATGTCAAAGAAAACAGTTTAGTAATCAACAGCACACAGAAGATCTCTGCCAAGACTGTCAAACTGAAATCCAACTGGTTACAATAGGCAACTACTCTTGGGACATTAGCATTGTGCTTTATTAAGCTTTACTGATTGGGGCCCATGGTGCTTGCTGGCAGCTCAGCCCTAACTTGTAATAGTAGGTTAAGAGTAATGGTCTGGGGACAAAAAAGTTTAACAGTTTGGCAGTGTTTAAGGGCCCCTTCACAAATATACATTCACTGTGGTGCGTTAATACATGCAAGTTAAGCTGCAGTGCAACAAAGTGCATTGCATCTAGGCAGTCTATTCAATTAGAATGGGTTGCCGACATATAGAAACATAAGGAAAGTTACTTTTAAATGCATTGGGCAGCACAACGTACAATATGTGCATTCTTGTGCATTCTGTTGGAATGCTGGGGTGCCATTCTAAATGAATGGCCGCGCAACATACTGCACAGAGTTTTTTGGGTGTTGCAGTAAGGCATGTTTCAGGAACACAGAGGTCTGGACCAGCCTTATGCTGCCCATACGCCTTGCAATCTGAATGAACAATATATTCTAGTGTGGCTGTAAAGTTGACAACTTTTTCAATAATCGATTATAATCGATTATGTCGATTAGTTGTTGCAGCCCTACTGACTTGTTCTCCTTTTTCCTGGTGATCTTCAACTCACAGCTGTCCCTTCACCGATCCCCCTTCTACTTAGCCCCTTGTTAACTCTGTTTTTATCTTACACTCTTTTAGCTTCACTCAGCACATTGACTTAATCATTTCACCAGCCAAATTAGTCACCCCCCTGGATGGACAATGAAAAATACCTCTACACCAGGGGTGCCCACAAGGTCGATCGCGATCTACCAGTCGATCACATAGCGATCACTGGTAGATCGCGATGTCCTCTCCCCCGCCGGTGGTGCTTCTCTGGATCCCCGCTGCTCTTCCCATCTGTATGCAGCGGGGATCCGAGAAGAAGTGAAGGAACCTCTGCAGCCGGCGGCAGACGGAGCCGCTGTCACAGACAGAACTAATGCCGTGCCTCAGGCGCAAAAGGAGCTGGCTACGGCTATGCTCCCGTGGTGCTCGTGCGGCTGCCGGCTTAATGTGTCAGACGCTGCAGATGGAAAGGAGCAGGACACCTCTCCCCATGTACAACATCGGCCACCACGGGAGGACAGGAAGCCGGGACCTCTGGGGGGCACTGGAATGTAAGCCGGCCGACTCCATGCGTTCAGGTGCGGGAGGGGGTGTAGGGCTGTATTGAAGTCAATGGCATCGCCCACAGTGTGATTGCCCACACCCGGAACGCAGGCACATTAGTGCCTGCATTCCGGTCCAGTGCGATCTGCAAAAATAGTGCTCGCAGCATTTTTGCGGATCGCACTGGACTGGAACAGAGGCACTAATGCAGGCGATCGCACTGTGGGCGAGGGTCCTGGCTGCGGTGCCATTGACTTCAATGCACCGCCACGCCCCCTCATGCAGGTGTTTTTGCGTTGGTAGATCTCAATGAACTCGTCATTTGAAAAGTAGATCTCCAGATGAAAAATTGTGGGCGCCACTGCTCTACACACATGCTCCCTACCCTTTATCTTTAACTGTATAGTTCTGACATGATATTCTAGTGATCACAATGGTGCCTGCATACAGTATGACATTTTCTCTGTATTCATGTCACCAGGGGACCCATGGTGTCCTAGGCAGCCAATTTTACAAGCAGCCTTCTTTTACCGAAATGTATATCTTGACTACTTTGGCTCTACAACCTGTCAAATAAGTATTGCAGTCTCTCTGTTTTTTTCCTCTATATTTATACATGGAAAAATTATAAAAAAACATTTCTTAAAAAGAATAGTCCATTTTAGACCTACCACCAATTGTGTAGCACCAGACTGACTAGATGCAAACTGAGTGGATTGTTTAGGTAGGGCTTCTACTACACAGTTTTGATAGATTTAAAGTAGGCTGCATATAGGTTGAACATGCAGACTGCATAGTGTTTGGCTAGAATTCGGGATACTTGGGGAAACCCTTTAGATTTTTGTAGTTGTTGGCTCTGAAAATCAAAGTGAGCACTAAAAGCTTGTGGCACTGAAAGCCAACATACCAAGGCCGGGGGTTCACTGGACCACAGACAGGACATTATTGTCCCATCCGAGCTCTTCGTGTTCTAGGGAAAAAACACAGAGGAGCCAGTAGACTATTTTATAAAACCAGATAATGTGTGTTTCCACTGACAGAAGGAAAAAAACTAAAAAATGCAAAGCACATCCATTAACTATCCTGTGGCCTTTGCATATTACTATGGAGGTTAGACAAGCATGCATGGCTACCAAATTGGACTGAATATCACGTAAAACATAAAACAAAATGCTATACAAAACAACCTACAAAGACATAACAGTAAACAATAACACAAAAAAGAAAACACCATTAAAAAAAACAAATCTGAGAAGAGGGGTCAATCATTTTATACCAGTCCAGTGACGACCATTTCTTTGCTTAGTACCAAAACCTGCAGTCCTAACATTCTGCACATCATGAGGAGATGTTATACGGGGACGACACGTTGTTTGGACAACCAATCAGAAAGCAGCTTCCAGTCTGAGTGATATTTATCATTACACATATACGCCAGCAGGGCGAGAAGGGGCAGCACCCAAAAAGCACGTTTACAATGTACGTTCAAGCTGTTTCTGTCTTGTCACATCTAGACTGTTTTGGGTAAGCCCAACTGCCGAAATGACAGATGTGGCCACCCAGTTACAGCCTCTCAGCCTTTCAATAGTACATGGCCATCACTTTCTTTATAGGCTCTTGAATGATGGACTCCTGGTCCAATAGCAGTCTTATAAATCAAGCAGTGCAATGCCTCCAGATGTAACTGGTTATACTTTTCATAATAAAAGATGACATGACTGTAGGCAAAGGTGGTGCAGCCCAGCAATTTCTATAATCTTTCTATCTGATATCATTGTTCTGTCTAGGAATGCAACTGGCTATGACAAGTTTTTGTACTTTGCAAGTACTCATTTTTCTTGATCCCGCAGTATTGTCGTGTCACACGATGGCCCTCCTAACCATCTACTCTTGTGTTGTAACTGTACTGTCTTAAAGCGCTGCGCAAACTGTTAGCGCAAACAAATCCTGTACAATAATAATAAACATGGAGGGGAATCCCTTGTTTTAGAGTGCAGGAAAGCATTATCAGATGTACACAATGCTGCAGCCAGCCACTCAACAAATGAGTAACGTCTGATTCACAGGAGAATATGACTCAACATCCCTGCACAAAGTACAGTAAAAGTGCTCAGCCAGCAAAACAATACAATGTACTCGGGGTGGCATCCCATTTCCTCAGATGACATTGTGACATTCTAAACATAATAACCAGTACAGACAACAAACAGAACAGCATGCAATAAAAATAAAACCTGGTTCTTTACTACCTTCTCTGTCGGATGCCCTCTTTTTTTTTTTGAATCAAATCTCAAAAAGTTAAAAGACTGGGCAATTCCATTTATAAAAAGACTGTCTGTTTCACGAACTCATAATAACATTTTGTCATTTCAGTAATTACATAGTAACATAGTATGTAAGGTTGAATAAAGGTCCAACCAGTTCAACCTATTGTATGCGACTGTGTATTTATCTTGCTCTAACACTTCCCATACCCCTATAGATTCTGCAAAAGAAGAAACTCATCCAGAAGTTTCTTGAAATACTTTATATAATTCTATATTTGCAGTTTGTCTTTGTGGTTTCCTGCTCAGACCCCTGAGCGTTTTGGGCTGTAATGTATATACCTTGGTGGGTACATGCCGTGATGTGAGACATAGTAGGGTGGTTACGTGGATCATAATTCTAATAAATTATAATGGTGTATAACACAATAAGTTTGAGAAAGACTAGATCAGGAGGTGGCAGAACTGAGGCAGGCTTGGACAGAACCCAAGGCAGCCAAAAAATTAGAGCTTGCACCCACATTTATGTTGTGCTGCTAAATTGGGCTCTCAAACTCTACATCCCTTGTAATCATAGATCAGTAATGAAGCTATAATAGGGCTATGCTCACACCTATAAGTTTTTCATGCTTGTTGCATATGAGGTGCGGTTTCCACTTACACACTCCTTCCATGGGGATAAAGGGTAATGCAATAAAAACGTGTGAAAAAAAAGCGCTTAAAACGCATTGAGTTATTTTGTAAAAACAGAGGTGTGAGAGCATAGCCTGTCAACGACATTCGCTTATCAAATGCCACGGATGTGCAGTGGCCCACAGCAGCTAGATATCCGCCGTCAATAGCAACTGCATGCTAAAAAAAACAATCAGACCGATTGCTGTGGGGCACTGCACACCACCTAGAATTATAATTAAAACACAAAATGCAATCTTTTTTGATTTGTAGTCTGCAGGCTGCACATATTAAGGGGAAAGCACAACTGCTGTGCGATTGGTGGGGCGCTGCAGCAGACATTTAAAGGGTTAACAGCAAAATCTCAGTACCTGTCGCGAATGGACATCTTTTTGCTGGAGATGTCAATATCCTCCTGTGATTTGGCTTCGTTGGCAGGGGGAGAGATGTCGGCCGTCCTTTCGCACAGCTCCTCTTCGTCTTCCTCGCCTGCCTGTGGTCTGTAGGATGCTGCCTCCGGTGAAGTGTGAGAAAGTGTCTGCGCTGTGCTGGAGCCAAGAGCTTCAGAGGCCGGCTTGACAATCTCTGCTTATTGTGAAGAGAGGCTCAGCATTAGTGAGCAATCACATGGCATGCAGTCTTGTAAAGCCCCCCTCCCCATTTCCCTTCCCCTGCCTTACCTCCTCCTTCACTGTAATCTGCTTGCTGAGCTCATCTCTTTGGTTACACATGTTTCCCTAAAAACTAGCGTGTTATTATAGACAGTTGACCTCTGCCTCAATCATAACAGGGCGATGTGTCAGCGAGGTTTCCTCTCGTTTGCTTATACTCATGAAAATGGAGAGCCCTCTATGAAACGCATATACAGATCTTTTGTTCATTCTAACGCATAGTATTCCATTCTACGAATAACTGCTGCATGAATGTGCTTTGATCCTAAATATATCACACGCACTGCCTATAATGTTCATGATCAATCACTTCCTATGCTACGCTAACTCAAGTATAAAAAGCAGAATTTGTCACCCAATTGTTGCACTGAGAATTGTTCTCGCTCTAGAAAGGCAGACAGGGGCACACCTAGAAAGCCGTGTGCTGTATTTTGTTTATCTTCCTCGGTTGTAAAAGAATATGTGAAATGTCTCGTGCCCTGAGCTTTGATTGGCTGTCAGACGCTCTTCCCTAGAGTCTACATATACAAAACAGTTCACATTAAAGTGATGTTGAGCAGCAGGACGCAAAATGAATGCTTGCAGGTGTATTTTGCCATATAGCTCCCTGCACATCTTCTCGCCCCAGGGTTAGGAGAGCTCAGCAGCAGCCATCTCCATACCCTATTTTGACACCTGTGTATGCCTGAAGTGTCAATAAGTAATGACATTCATTTCTTCCACAAACAGCATTGATCACAGCGGTACACCATCTATGCATGGAGTTCACAAGCACTAGACGCATATGAACTCAGGAGGATGGAAGTGCTTAGGCTCACATGGACTGGATGCAGAAGTGGATCCCATATGTTCTGCTTTAGCATCATGTTGCTGTGACCTTTAAAGTGTAAATCCACTTTCCCAAGTGAATTTGTGAAAATGCCAATCTAGCCCCCCTGCTATACTTACCTTTTTGGCGAACACTTCTTCCTCTCCGCTGGTATGGGTGTACAATCCATACCTCGTACTGCCGTGTAGTGCAGCCCTGTGCTCTGGATTTTGAATTTCACTCGCAAATGGTCAGCTCGGTCACTTCACCGTGCTGACCAATGAGAAGCGCTTCTTAGCAAGAATCACTTCTCATTGGCCAAGGCAGTCAGAAGTGCTTCTCATTGGTGAGCACCTGAACCTGTCATAAGGAATGCAAGGGCCGCCATGCAATAACAGTCGTCGCCTAACTGCCTTTGATCCCTAATATTTTCTAAATCACTGATCTGGATCCAACATTCACATAAGGAAAATCAGAGTGAAGTCAGAATTCTTCTATGCATACTTGTTCCAGGTCATTAGCCTAACAACCAGCATTTTCAGAAGCCAGCACTATCAGTCTTCCTGTTTCTCACAAATGTGTGTGGAAGCAACAAGTCAATAGCGGCTAGCCACTAGAGTTCATTTAGATAAGATGCCACTCGTGCAAAGCTTGCACAAGGGTGTGCAGAGATAATAGTTCCCCCTTCTCTAACTGTCTTTAGCTCCCATTTGATGCCAGTGTGCATGTTGCCTTAGGGCTCATGCACACGATGCAAAGAAACATAGCTCTTAGATCCATACAGTGTTTTTCTATGCCCCTGAATGCAGCTGTATAATAGCCAGTGTGTTCTTGCATATTGTGACATTTAGATGTGTAATCTAGATCAGGGTTGGGGGATGTAAAAAAAAAAAAGCATAAAAGGATAAGCATATTGGCACAATTTATGCGTGGACAGCTGCTGGAGACAGTGCGGTCCCTTGTGATACTGTATTGGACAGGAAGTCCAGAGAAGCAGAGCTGAGAGAGTTGGAGCCGTTTAGAAACATAATGAATACGCGCTCGGTGAAAAATGTAAAGAAATACTTTGCTGGACTATGTATATTTGTTCAATCTGGATTCATTATATTATTAAAAAAAAAAAAGTTTTAGAGTTTAAAGGAGAACTATGAGGTGAGTGATTTCTACTCATCCTCATAGTTAGAGCCAACCTGTGACAAAGAAGCTGTCACAGGTCGGCTCTATCAATCGGTGAGTGAGCAAACACATAGCGTCGCACGCTCACTTTCCGATCATCTCCCTGCAGAGAGCGGCGACCGTCAGTCACAGATCCCCGCAGGGATTACTCCCCTCTCTGATCCTCCAGCGCTGAGTGGAGTAACAGACAGGGAAGGGGGTGGGCACAGCTGGCTCTGCCTCTAGATAGGCAGAGCCAGCTGTCACTCATGCAAGCTGGGTGAATCTCGACAGCATTGTCGGGATCTGTCCCGGCTGCGGCGCTCTCAGTATATCGCGGGCAATAGCCTGTGATATACTGAGCTTAGGCTGACGGAAGGAAGGTAGTATAATGTCCTCCTGTGACCCTAAAGAGAACTAACACTTACCCCATGGTTCTCTTTTAATACTACTTTATATCAGAATGAAATTCCCCATGTATGCTTCTAAAGGTTGTACGGGCATACATGCAAGTACTTTACACGCCATTACATGTGTTGGATCTTTCTTCCAGCTTCTGGCCGTAAGATCTAGCATAGATATGAGTATTCAATTACACCCGTGTGCATGAGCCCTTACAGTATCAGAAAAATCGAAGAACAAAGCATCCTGCTGAATTCTCCAAGATATAAGGATTTTACAGGAAGGAAAAGGTTTAACTGAAGCTCAGTGGACGTTTAACGAGTCATTGAGAGATGCCAACATTTAAAGAGTTTCCTCAGGGCGCTTGTATCAGGACAGCCATGCTGTTATACAGCACAGGATGTTGTAAACAGAACAGAGTACATCAGATATGGGTGGGTGACAGCTAACCCCTATGTCACAAGGGCACGTCTACCCATATGACTGTCACTGGTGACCTGTGTTCACACAGACTGAAGATCACTGCACAGGAAGGAGCATGTTCTGTTCTACCCAGGGAAGCCATATAAATAAAACAGGGGATGTAGTGTCACTTTCAAGTTAACTCCAGCCCAAAAAGGTCTTTGTTTTAGCTGTAGCAACTAGTTAGAACCACTGATTTTAAAGTGACACTTAAATCAGGAGTTAAATCTGAAAAATACATTCAATTACCTTATTAACAACAATGTATCTTATTTGTGTATCACTCGGCTGTAGATCCTCAAATAATTTCTGAATTGGTGCTGACACTGTCCTTCTGGAGGAGGGCTACTTGTGTTCCCCATGGTCCCTGTGTGCGTTATAAAGTGACCACCGCTCTAAGCTTGCTCCCCCTATGGACTACAATCTCAGGTTTAGTTTACTGATTTGTATTGAGATTGTAGTCCATCACAGGAGCGAGCTTGGAGCGGTGACTACCACACACACAGGGACCATGGGGAACACAAGTAGCCACCCTCCAGAAGGAAGGACAGTGTCAGTATAAATTCAGAGATGATTTGAGGATCTACAGCCGAGTGATACACAAATAAGACACATTTTTGTAAATAGTTAGGTCCCTTTCACACTGATCAGAATGGATGTTCCCATTTTACATCCATGACTGTAGTTTTTTTTCTTACATCGTAACATGTATAAAAAACTGAGATTACCATACCCATGTTAGTGAATGGGCAGCCAGATCTAAATGGACGGGCGTACACTTACATCTGGTTACCCACGATCTGGTACGATCAGGACCAGCAAAACGGATCTCTGATCGGTTGTTTTTCTGGACCTGGCTAGAGCTGGGGATACCCATATGTAAACGGACGCCATTTGGGATCTGGCTGCCCATACACTATCGGGCTTCCGATCAGGTCCGCCTGAAAAAATTCCAGGCGGACCTAATCTAAAAGCCCAAGTGAAAAGGGCCTCAAGGTACTTGAATTCATTTTTAAGGTATTACTCCAGAGTTTAGGGTCACTTTAATGCTCTCCATGACTTCAGGGGGGGCTTTGCCTTACTTCCTGTATAGTTAACAGGACAAGAAATAAGGGGAATCACCTAGTGTCACAAAACCTGACTAAGCTTTCCACAAAATAAACAGAAAAAAAACCCGAATCCGCTCACATCCTACCCCAACGGCCTCACAGCAGAAAATTTCTCCACAACAGGGGCTCCGATACCAATGAACATCTGCAACAGCTTTCCTATTCTACTGCAAAATGTTTTTTTGCCTGGAGTTGTGCTTTAACATGGTACCGTGCAACACATAGCCTGAGCGTCTGTGTGTACTGAGCCATTTATTTATTTTAACCTTTCAGCATAGGGAGTGCTTGGCGCCTTTCAGGAATATGAACCTAGAGATCACTTTTGATCCTAGCATGCATGGGGGGTGCTGAAAAGTGCCCATGTACCTTGGCAAAGCTTTCCCCAAGAAGAGCAGACAGTGAAAAGTTTATTTTTTCTTGTAGCCCTGCCCCAAAACATCTAAGGTGCTTATTTTGTTTAAGGGGTGTTACTAGACACTTGCCAAACACCTATTTTTAAGGAGAAGTGAGGCACTGGTAACAAATCAGTATGGAATTCGGGAGCCAACAGGATTTCTTTTTAAGAAGCCGGCTATACTGACAACTGGAGAAAACCTTACAAGTTAGGCACCAGCTGTAATTATTAAAGAGCATTGGCTACCTGGATCCTGGCATTTGTCCAGGCACTAGTTCTGGCGGACACTGGTACTGGATGGCGCTGGTGCAGTACAAAACAGAAAGGAAATGGCTACTGGAGCCGTTCTATCCTCTTCTAGTGCTTTCGATATTAGAAACCTCTATAGCCTTTTCCCAGATGCCTTGTAATCTCCACAGAAATGCTTCTCGAATGTCCTGTAACCATTATAGGTGCGGTTTTGGCGTATTTCCATTTACATGAATGGAGGTGGTTGCCAAGCAGCAAAGCCTCCCGAGCGCGGCATGCTGTATAATGTTCACTGCAACACAATGCAACTGCACATGTGGGTACTGCACTGTCCA